ATCACAAGGATACTAAGATATGTAGTAAGAAAAGATGCATGGGTCATACGTGGGTTGTGGCGACCGGATTTGGTTCCCCCGCTCTCCACGTCTGACAGACAAAACACAGTAAATAAGAGACATGTATCGATATCACTGTAATTTATTCTTTGTCTTCATCAGAAATAAGAGACATGTATAGATATCACTGTACTTTATTCTTTGTCTTCACCAGAAATGTAAATCAAAAACACAGTAAATAAGAGACATGTATAGATATCACTGTAATTTATTCTTTGTCTTCATCAGAAGATTCAAAATCAAAGTTCACAATATGAGCGGGATAACACATTCCATTATGTATGAATGCAAATTGGGCTTGGCTAGATTGCGTGGACTGTCGACCGAACACCCACCCAATCATTTGTTCTGTGATGGTGTTCATTTCAATGATGTTAGTTTATAAAGTTGTTTAAAATACAGATGTGGCGTCATCCTTATGTACCAAGCGTATTAGTTGAAATTTTGCACGCTAAGACATTGCGTAATATATTGAAACAACAGCTCGGGACTAGGTACCTCGTGTTGTTTCAATATTTTACTTAATATCTCGCCCTAGACCATTAAACCACACATAATAGGTGTTATCGGGGAGCCATAGTACGCATGTTAGCTTAGTTAGCCATCTACTGAATAAATAAATGGCCTTTTCAATGTCAATTAATATGTCTTCTATAATCTATCTAGTCTGGGGGTAAAGGTTAGACAGGAAGACAAATAGACATTGCAGTTAACGGGAGGCGTGCTTACTCGAGCAACTGATGTGGTGTTTAAAAATAAACATGACTCTCTTTAGATATGCAATTTCCGAGAAATTTAAAGTTATCTGAAACGTATGATTTAGTGTTAGTGTGTGAAGTGATTGATTCCAGTGTTATTATAATATGTGCGGGTAATATTCATTACTATGATGTTATACATTGTTATTTTAACGCCAGTGAGCAGATAATGTACAAAGAGGGTACAGTTTTAAAAAAAAGGTAACAGATACAGGTTTTTAGTCTTTATACTATCCGTTGACCGAAACTAATCGGTTTTATCAAATTCTACGGAGCTCGACCAAGAGCAAAAATGAACAAAAATATCCCGTGCGTTTAGCTTCTTGTTCACTTGCTATTTTTATTTGTCTTTAAGCTATGACGCTTTAAAACCCAAATATAATTCTAGTTAAATGGGCATTATGTCAGTTCTCACTATAATAGTTAAAACCTAGAAAATGTAAAGGGAATTTGCTGAAAGTTTCAGCCAAATTGATCCACTCTGAACCGAGATATTAGCTTTTGAATTGTAGGCCTAACCTCGATCATCATTACTAAAGTCGGTACGATAATAAAAAAAATAGTCTCGATTATCCATTTTTGGATTAAATCATCAAATGAGCATTGAGCAGCAAATATCGCAGGCTAGCGATGACATCGAGCGTTGATTATGGTCTGGATAAGTTAATTAATGTCTAATTAATAATTTAGATAACATTTTAGGCCAAAAGAAAGACCTGCAATAGGCAGATTTAGCTCTTGCATAATGCCTGTTTAATAACTGCAAGCTTTACTGTGAATGTTAAAGGAACAGTCTCAAAGAAAACAGGAAACCTATTGATATTCAAAGTTATGTGACCTTCTGTTCCGGAATTACTCTGTCAGTGCGATAGATGCTATAGTTTTAACGGATATTATTCAGGGCTGTCGGTAATTTTTCACGGTTGATTAGCAGCACTGCTAATCAAAAAGTCAAATTTTGCCAAATTTGATTAGCAAATTTAAAAATTGATTAGCAGGTTTTCAGTTTCAACATAAAACACCTAAATAACAAGATATTACTTTAGTTCATAACAAATATGATTAGATTCCATTCTTACTAATCTTAGATTTTTTTACGACTGCCACAAGTACTTGTGACAGTTTGTGAATGTGATGTAGACATTTAGTTAGGTCTTATGTCTGAAGCCAATTCTTAACAGTGACTTCCGAAGCCCCAATCATTTTAATTGTTATTTTTTGTACGTTAGAAATCTTCGTTAGAAAACAATTTCGTCTGCTTTTTATCGTGTATTGCTTTTTTTGTTCAATCGGGCGCACCTAGATTGACTAGACACACGTGATATTTTACGGGAATTTTTACTTTGATTTATCATTTTACAATACGTTAACATTTATTTTTTTATATTTTATTTACAATACGTAGAGGATACACTGGATTTATTTCTTTCAAAATATCATATAATTTCTTGATGTCTTGCAACGTGAGTGGTACTACGTGATTCCCTGTTTCCGGTTTAATAGTCCCTATTCATAGAGTTATGTCCCTGTATTATATAGTACCGTATAATGAATTGTGTCTGGGTAGTTCGTGAAGAAAATGTCATACGGAGAATTCAGTTTTGTTTATAAAATTTTATTCAACATTTTATACTCGTTGAAATTGTTGAGAAAGCTTTCTAGTCTTCAAATGTGGATTATCCTTGTGTCAATATCCAAAATGACAGGCATATTAATGATTCGCAGTTACTGCGAATCAAAAACTTTAGATTTTAATTTTTGATTAGCAACGGACAAAATATGTATCGCAAATTGCGCTGCGATACTGGTTGTCGGCAGCCCTGATATTATTATACGCGATGTAATTTATTGGGAAAATGGCAGCAGGAACCCTATCGATTTTACTTGATCCCATCTATCTCTTTCAAAATGAGGGCGTAAATTAAATGGTACGACTGTCCGTTCCGTACATACCTCTCGTTTACCGAAAACCTTGTGAAGACGATAGAGGCAAAAGTTTTGAACTATTTTTTGTTAAGTTTGGTGTGACGTATTAAGGTTATGAGAGGACGAACCCTATTGCAAAATGTGATCGTAAATTGCATGACAACCGCTTTTTTCACTTTTTATACGCCCACATTAAAATGTGGTTGTATATTGTCGTCGCCCCCGCCCGTCCGTTCAGCGTCCACAATTGCTTATGGACGCTCTAGGGCTAAAGTTAATATCTGATTGACTTTAAATTTATACACAGTGTTTAAAGTCATGAGACGAAGAGGCCTATTGATTTTCAGCATATCCGATAATTACTGCCAGTGTTATGGCACTTGATCACTTCAAAAAATCGTGTGGATGCTCTAGAGGCCAAAGTTAATATCCGATTGACTTTAAATTTATACACAATATTTAAAGTAGCTAAGTCTCTAACTCAATATCATCCAAAATCTTCAACATTGAAAACACAAATTTTTTGTCAATTTAAATCAACATTGATGCTGTGATCTTACCGGAAAAAGATGGGCTTCTGATATCCAATATTTAAGACAAAATATACATTTTACCATTGGTACACGAATCGTGTACCATAATGCGTTTCAGCCCCAGTTCTAGCAAGAGACTAGAGGAACGAGGCTAGACATATTGCACCAAACCAAACGGCGGATGTAGACTGGAATAACCAGGCGCTAGAAATTTGCATTCGATTGAGACTGCTGGCTTATTTCGCGGAACATAACTGATTTGAAATTAGACTAAAAACGGAAATCATTGAATGTATATCAGTTTATATACATTCATATTACAATATTATATGAGTTGCGACCCACTTGTGTCAATTTCTAGGTCCCAAATGTTAGCGATTTAGCACCTTTAAGGTCTTGCGACGAACAAGTATATAGATTTTCAATGAAGTTTGGTAACTCGAACAGCTAATTTCATGATATTAAATGTTTCGTATACTAAACGTTAGCATGGGGCAGAACTTTATAAATACCAAACAAATTTTAATAATTTTCTGATAATTGCTTAATGAGTTGTTACTCTTAATTGGATTTTAGTGTATTATAAATATAAATGTTTCATTCCCGAAAAAAGTAAAAATATGTGATAACTCTTGTTGGGCGTATGTTTCGTTGCCTGGAAACCTAACTTTTTACAAATTTGTGTGAAGTATTGTGGTCATGGGAGGACCTTCCTTTGGCGAAAACCATTTGAACACGATAGTGGCTACAGTTTTTAACGGATGTTTTTCAGATATGGTGTAAAGCATTAGGATCATGAGAGAACAAATCCTACCTATATTTGGCTTTCTTCGAGTTACCTCCCCTTTGTCGAAAACTTTGTGGATAGGATAGAGGCTCTAGTTTTTAACGGATTTTTTTTTCAAATTTGACGTGAAGCATTGGTGTTATAAGAAGGTCAACCTTTTGATGTTCAGCGTTCCGTGGTTGCCGAAAATCTTGTTTACGCGATATAGGCCACCGTTTTAAGCACTGGGGTCAGGACAGGACGAACCCTATCGATATCGAGCATTCCACAACCGTGTGTTCTGTAATTACCCGATTTCCGCCACCCCCTTTGCCGAAAACACCCCACAGTTGTCCGAAGACCCCGTGAACACACGATAAGCGAGATTTCTTGAAAGCATAAGTTTTCTACTGCTATCGAGACAAAATTTCAATTATCTGTAGTACAATTCGCAGGTTGTCATTTTTTTTATCACACGATGATGTTTTTTATGTTTTATTTATAATACTATACGTTATTATCTGTACTGCAAAATCGGCAAGTGATTATCAATTTGTGTACGAGAGTCTTATATATATAGGTATCGGGTTTGGGAATAATGTAGATACTTATTATTTTGATAAAAATGGGTTTTATTCATGGGTGAGTGGATATTCTATCAGTAGATTTACAGGCTGTTTATATTTGGGCTACGGTAACAGATTAAGTATATCAAGCTCGTGTGTGTGTGTGTGGGTGCGTGTGTGTGTGTGTGTGTGGTTGGACGGCTTATTTAGAAAAGACATATTTGTTTACCTCACCATCCCATCGCCGAAAAAAAAAGCAATTTTCCCTCTCATCTTCAAAAGGACGTTCATTTGAGCACCCTCGTGGATTTGACCCTGTTGATTAATATATTTTATTAACGTTTTGTTATTATTAGCTTTTTAAAACTTTTACATTTGTTGTTTATTGCAGATAATGGTGGAAGGAATCGCTTTCCAAAATTGGGTTTTCATCCTAATTATGCTTCAAACAACTCATAGTGAACACATAGATTGCCGGCAAAGAGCAGATTTGAGGTATAATGGAACAGCAATTGATTGTTCACACACGGGTATCCTAAGGGTCCCCGACAAACTTCCTGTAAACACCACAACTCTAGATCTAACGTTTAATAATATAACAATTCTATATAACAATAATTTCTTACATCTAGTTAATCTGCGATATCTTGATGTTAGTTTTAATCCTATCCATACTTTACAGTCATCATCATTTAACGGATTATCATCATTGTTGATATTGGAATTTAATGGACATGTGTTGGATTATAGTGAAACTTCCATGCCAGTTAATGTTTTTAAACCCCTTCAATCACTTACCAACCTAAGTATGAGATCAGATGTTTCACGGTTTCCTCTAAGACAATTTGATTTACCTGACCGGGTTTTTGGATCACTCACAAATTTAAGACATTTAAATATTGACACCGGCTCTAAAACCGTATTCAAATCTGGTTTTTCAAATTTGACTGAACTCCGGTATTTGGTTATAGGTGATACGCTAGTTCACGGTACTTCATTTGCGTGTGGACTTGGAACCTTAACTAACGAAACCCTTAAAGGTCTCTTGAAAACACAGATAACATATCTACAATTAAATAGCTGCAATTTGCAAATATTCCATCGTGATTCACTTCAGTATTTGACTAACTTAACAGATTTCATTATGCAAAGCACATCATTAATGAAAGGAGGTTTGCAGGATGTTTTCCAAGCCTTGAGTGTGTATCGAGATAAGACCATGTCAACTGTTTCCATTACCAATTTTGAGTCCGATAGCAATGATATCGGAACAGCGTCTTCAATTTCTGTAAAAACCGTATACCGTATATGTGTTAGCCATATTGATTTAAGTTCAAGTTCCATAATATATATAGATTTTGAAGGAGTACCCCCGTTTAATTGTCCCCTAATGAAATGCATGAAATCTATCAAACTAAGGCATAACAAAATTACCCTTGGTAGTCTACATAAAATATGGTTTCTTTTCGTCCGACTTTTTTCAAACCTAGAAACGATTGACATATCTCTACAGAGGAAATTTTCTGTTGATGATCCGACATCGGTACATCGGCCGGGCCATACACATCTTCCCATTGGGATACCAGTCTTACTTCCCCCAAAAATCAAATCAATAAATGTTGCTGGCATATCTGCACACACCGGACCTTTGTTCGATATTTATTTTTTGAATGGAAACAAACTGCAGTCAATAAATGTCTCCTACTCTGGCTTCTCAGATTTTAACCATACAATTATAGGCCTTAAAAATCTGGAAATTTTGGATTTCAGTCACAATGACATGAGCACCACCAGTGAAACGTTTTTTGATACATTTCCAAAACTGAAACAATTACGTTTAAACTGCGTACAATTTGATAGTAACTTTCTATCACAACATGGTAAAAGACTGTTTAGTCCTTTAAAAAATCTAGAAAGCCTTGATTTATCAGACAATGGCCTGGTGTTTTTACCATATGATATATTCAGCTCTTTTGTTACATTAGAAGTTGTTAATCTGGCGTTTAATAACTTGATCACAATACCAGATTTAACATCTCTTGATAAACTGGATTTTATAGATCTGAGTCACAACTCATTTACAACACTTGAAAATAAATACAGACTGATGTTTGATATAACAGCAGAAAATAATAATGAGTTCCATTTGTCACTTTGGGGAAACACCTTCTCCTGTATTTGTGAATCGACTGGGTTTTTAATTTGGTTACAAGAAACCAGTGTTAAGTTAGATGGTGGTAATTATTCTTGCATGGACTTTACCGGGAAGATGAGCTACACTAAAGTACTTCAAACCCAGTGGAAAGCGTTTCAGAGACACTGTGTTTCAGGATTTTGGTTAAATATGGCTATGGGTGGAGCAAGTGTGGTTGTTGTTACTCTAATTACAACTTTTGTTTTCATCAAAAATAAGATGAAGCTAAAATTAATACTTTTAAGAATGATCGGACAAAATATTTATCCCAAGAAGCGGAATGAATTTCTGTATGACGCCTATATAATCTACACTGATTCTATTTACAGTTGGGTTTGTAACGAACTAAGAACTGAACTAGAAACCAATCGTAAAATAAAATTAAACATACGTGACAGAGATCATTTACCCGGTGGTTCTCACGCAGATGATATATTAGAAGCTGTTAGAGACAGTTGGAAAATAATTTTAATTTTAACCGAAGATTTCCTGAAAAGTGATCTGGCATATTTTACAATGTGTAACTGTTTGTCAGCTATGACACTTACAACACCACAACGATTAATCATTGTAATCGATCATCAAATGACAATACCTACTAATATCGATTTCGTGTTGGAAGCTGTTTCACAAAGAAATATTATTACTGCTGACATTGAAACGGCAAATACATGTTTTAATTACTCCAGGTTGGCCGATATAATCGTGTATGAAGAAACGGCACAATAATTATTTTGTAACCCAGGATAGCCTTAATGCCCTTTTTAATGGCCCTGTTTAGTAAGTGTTGATTCGTATAACTTTTAATAAACATTTACGAAACGAAGGGAAAATAATCTCCAATTTTAGTTTTCACAAGTTTCAACATCATGTTTAAACATACATTATGCAAGAGCTAAATCTGCATATTGCAGGTATTTCTTTAGACCTGGAATATTATCAAAATTATTAATTAGACATTAATTAACTTATCCAGACCATAATCAACTCGTGATGTCATCGCTAGCCTGCGATATTTACTGGATTGGAACCCGATCTGCTGCTCAACACTCATTGATGATTAAATAAAAAAATGGATAATCCAGACTTTGTTTTTTTTATCGTATCGACTTTAGTAATGATGATCTAGACTAGGCCTAAAATTTAACTGCTAATATCTCGGTTCAGAGTGGAGCAATGTGACTGAAATTGTCAGCATATTCTCTTATGTTATCTATTTTCTAATTATTATAGCGAGACCGGTCAGATTATCCACTCTCCCATAATGCCCCTTTAACAGGGATGAGATTACATGAAATGCAAAGTCGACAAAAAAAATCGAAAACAATATTGCGAAAAGTAAGTAAAAAAATAGTGACCGTCATTCAGATAACTATTATTTCAAATGACAATGGATGGCAACTGACTTTCGTATGTAGTCAAATGGAATCATTTTTGTGCATTAAAACAATATTCTATTATCTGATTCGTATCTTATTCGTAAGTTTTTCTTTAAGTGAGTTCTTCTCTTAAAGTTGCGAACTTTTGTTAAACTGTCAACAGACCAACTATGCAGCTTACCGACTTCTTGTCTTCCTTTTTTACACTGCTCGGTCTATTTGTATCGATTGTGATTAGCTATATGACTCCAAAATCTAAATTAATTCTGAAAGAATTGATCAGAAATCCGGGAAATTCAATGACTGTTTTCGTCTCACGAAAATAAAACAATATAAACGTCCACAAGATTCTGCAAAGTGAATATGGAGTTAACATACAAAGAATTTATCAGAATTCATGAAAATTCTAATCTAGTCACATGGAAAACCACAATATTTTCCTATTTTAAACTGTTCGATCTAATTACACTGTGCACTTGATGCTCGCCAGATATAATTTTGTGTTTATGTTCCTTACCAGACTCCATAGTTTTTTTTATTATTTTTGTAGCTATGCAAGATAAATGAAATGAAATGAAATGGGATTTAACGTTTTACTCTTATTTTTATTATTAATGTAACTATGCATGTTTTGCATTTTTCGGAAAATATCAAATTTCTGACGGCTTAATACACGCGAATGTGTACTCCGATTGATTATTTAATATAGAAAACAAAAACCGTTAATAAATGAAATGAAATGAAATTTAACATGCTACTGTTCTGCTCCGACTGGGCTAATGAAATGAAATGAAATGGGGTTTAATGTCCCACTGTTCTGCTCCTACTAGGCTAATGAAGACGGGTATATGGTATGCAAGGGAAATAAGGGAAATTTTGCTCGGACAGCGGCGCTATGACCTACTCTTATTTCGAATTTCAGCTGTCAAGGGTTCCTTTAAGTGCACGCCAATGTGTACACGGGACCTCGGTTTTTCGTCCCATCCGAACGACCATATGTTGTCCCGTGCTAGGCCCTCCGTCCTACACAACTGGCAAGAGGGAACGGCGTCAGAATCCAGATAAACTTTCTCGGCCGACAATTAAACAACTTTAACCCTTTGAGATTCGACTTTTACAATATTGCAACGGATTCCTATCGGGGCCCGTGGCAGGGCATTGAGGGTGCTGGGATAAGCATTTCGGCAAGGGAGGTGAGGGGGGGGGGCGGTCTGTCCCCCCCCCCCGTCTCGAAATTGTTTGAAAGATACATGGCGTATATCTGGGATAACTGGATGAAACTGTGCTAATGAAGACGGGCATACGCCATACAGTGTGCTATGAGGGAAATTTTGCCCGGGCAGCGGCACTACGGCCTACTACGGCCTCTTATATCGAATTCCAACTGCCAAGGGATCATTTACGTGCACACCAATGTGTACACGGGACCTTGTTTTTTCGTCCCATCCGAACGACTAGACAGCTGTCCTTGTAAGGCCCTCCATCCTGCATCACTGACAAGGGGGAAACCACGCCGGAAAATCTGAATAAACTTTCTCGGCCAATGCAGGGATCGAACACTCGACCTCCAGGCTAGCGAGCCAGCGTCTTACCCACTTAGCCACGTGATCCCCGGGATAACTGGGGATCACTTTGTTCAAACCCAGAAACTGATATTTAACACAGCAGCATATACCAAATACGTGTACTACGTTTTAGTTTTACTGATGTAATAACAATCAGATGTACACGATTTTGACAGGAAACTTTAAGGAAGACGAAAGTAAAAGTTTTACTTTATGTTTAGTTTAGCCTACCTAGAGCGATTGATAACCAGAGCGGATACCATAACGTTGACTAGAACCTCAAACGGAACGAGGGGGGGGGGGCAGGACCCCATGGCACGAGGGTCCGACAGGTTGCTTTCAGTTTAAATTCACCAAATTTTCAAAATTAAGTCGACTGCCGGAATCCGATTCTAATCCTATCCATGCCACTAGGTACATGTACCCACAATCAGAAAAGTCACTGGTATTCTTCCACTTGTGGATCAAGTAACAGTGTATTTTTTTTTTTAATAATTTATAATAGTAGGCACCCTTTATACCAGCATTATAAAATTTCTACCTGGATCTATAATATAGAGTCGGATTTGCAGTATATTCTAAGATTTTTTATGGTGGTTGGATTGGACGATAGTATTATTATAAATCAGCTTTTTTTGTAATTTGGAATGTATGGTTAGTAATCAACTTAAATTTGAAATCAATCTGATTAAAAGACAGATCCTATTTCGTTTCGTTTTCATACTTCAAAATTTCGTTTTACTTGTCTTTACTACACTAGAATCTGGAAGAGTTGTATTGACTTGTTCTAAATGATGTGAGCTATTAGCCAATGAAACGGTCTGTTACGGCGAGCTTTAGGCGTGTTTTGCACGGAACTGTGGGTAATCCACTAGTAACATCAATGCTGATTAGTTAATCAAATGTCTGACGTCTTAGGGTCAAAAGCCGCGGCCTATCGCTACAACCGGTCACCGAAAGTATAAAAAAACGAAAACAAGTATAGATCTGTATTTTATTCAGGTTGATTTTAAATAATTATATATTTTGACTTATGACCTCTGATAATTGCTTCTAAGAAGTCCATTTTCTCTGAGTAACATAACAGCTAATTCAAGCCCTTTTACTAAACAGATTGGTCGGTTAAAGGATAAAAGAAAGATTGGGGAACTTCCTTTTTGTAGCGACTGAGCGAATGTTTACTGCTGATCTTTGAGATTGTGGCTTAGAAAATAAACAAAGGGGTAGGAGTTCTGAACGTCTTGCCCTCCTTTCGCCACTCCTCTCCTTTCTTTCACGTTGATGCTTTAAAGGGACATTATGGGAGATTAGATAAAAAGATGGCAGTTCTCGCTATAATAGTTAAAATATAAATAACGTAAACAGAATATGTAGAAAATGTCAGTCAAATTGCTCTACTCTGAACCGAGATATTAGCGATTGAATTTTGGGCCTAGCCCCGATCATCATTACTAAAGTCGGTTCGATAAAAGAACAAAGTCTCGATTATCCATTTATATGTTTAATTATCTTTTTAAAAGAATGTATTCCAATGCTCTAAATATCGCAGGCTAGCGATGGCATTGAGAATTGATTATGGTCTGGATAAGTTAATTAATGTCTAATTAATAATTGAGATAACATTTCAGGCCTAAAGAAAGGCCTGCAATAGGCAGATTTAACTCTTGCATAATGTATGTTTAAGTATAGTCAGATCGATATATCGTTATAACATGCCATAGCTGAGGTATACTCGGTTATAGTCTACCCACATGCATATCCACTTCAGTTTCCCTATTATTGGATTCTGTCGTCATCTTACATTGCATGTACAAAATGAAAAACCAATCCATCGATCCACTGTGTTCTTATTTTATAAGTGACTTAAACATACATTATGCAAGAGCTAAATCTGCCTAGGCTTAAAATGTTATCTATTAGACATTAATTAACTTATTCCGGCCATAATCAACGCCCCATGCCATCGTTACCCTGCGATATTTATTGGATTTGAATACATTTTGTGATGGATGATTTAACGCCAAAATAGATAATTGAGACTTTGTTTTTTATCGTACCGACTTTAGTAATGATGATAGAAGGCTAGGCCTAAAATTCAATTGCAAATATCTCAGTTCAGTGTGGAGCAATTTGACTGGAAGTTTTTACCTCATCTATTTTTTAACTATTATAGCGAGAACTGTCATCTCTTTATCTAATCTCCAATAATGTCCCCTTAAATAAATACAATTACTTTGTATCTTAAACTGCTTGAACTTTGACTATTTAAACTGAAAAGTGGTATTAGGTGCTGTAGAAAGTGTAAGCATGTTTTGCCTTTGGCACGGCACTCGTCGCCATATATAACTCCTTAATTAGTATGGACCTCGTGTGACTAGTTATTATCTAGCGTACACTTGTCATTATCTGACGTACAATATTTAACGCTCGCTACAATTCTTTTGTTTGCTTTGTCCCTAACCGGGATCCATAAAATTCGGACGATACATATCTATTTTCTGTCTTGTCCGCAGGTTTATCTTGTAGATATTTGTTTTCCGTGTAGTGCGGTCCCCCTGCACTTACTATCAGATAATTTAGAAAGTGTGAACATGTGGTTTATGATATACAAAACACGGTTTGTCATTTTCATCATATGATGATGTTTCATGTAGAATGTACATAATCAAATGTGTGTGTGTGAGTAATTTAGAACAAAACACATAATGTTTAGCGCCGAGCGGTGCGAGCTCAAGTTGAAAAAGGGCAAGTTTCAGCGATAACTGCGACACCATCATAGATTCGCCACTGAATATAGCATTTCATCAATCCAGCTTACTTCGTTTTCTCAGTTTATTTTTGATTAACGTTTTTATTATAGCTTTTTCCATTCTAGATGTTTAAGAATTACTTTTATTTTGTCAATAAAATAATTTGAAAAAACATTTGCCAATAGAAACACTACAATCAGAGTCTGGAAGATCCAGCAAACTATGTAATGACTTTATAAGGCTGTTTAAATGTTGTATATGTCTTTTGTATTTTCTAAATTGTCCTTGATTTGATAAGGGATGAATTTACGTGTTATAATTAAAATAATTTATTTCATTTCTAGATTTGAAGATAATTGGCGATGGATTTCAAGTTTCGTTTCCGCTAAGAGCTTCGACAGTAATGTGTCATGACTTACATTCGTGTGCTTCGTCATTAAATCATTTCCTGTTTGGTCAGAGAGTAATGTTATTTCGGAAAGATAGGGTATGATTTTAGAAAAGTGTTGAATTTATAGACGTATTTTCCTGTCGACACAATTTTCTTTCTTTCTTCCTAGCAGCGAGGAACTGATTATACTTTTCTTAAATTAATTCTTTATTGTCAATGTTTTAAAGATCTGGAAGAACACAAAAATGGTCAGATATACTCTTGTTCTCAACATACAAATTTTCGATAATACTATCATATTTTGTAGTGTGTATGCAGTGTTGCTTTTATTTAAATATTTTAAGAATTTATAACATAATAACGAACCATGTCCAACTTTGCATGAAGTTAAAACAATGTCATACTATATTACGATCATCTCTATAAACTGATTGAATCTCACAATCCTCAACATTTCTCAAATAAAATGTTTGAAAACTGTTTCTCAAATTGATTGACCGCCAAAATAACAGAACGTTATAAAGAGATATGAATTATAAAAGAATATTGAGCTTAGATTTCTAAATTGATATACATACCTAACAATTAGTACGATTTAAGGCGGATTAATTAGTCTGACTTGCATAGGCTTATTACTGGTTTAAGCTTAGCAGGTTTTTTTTTTCCTGCTTTATTCGGTACCCTCCCATTTCGACTACATAACAACAGATTATACGGTCTAGTGGTTTTATTATCCCTACTTATATACACTCTCTATAGCTAAAATAGATTCTTCCATGAAAATACACCATTTCGACTACAGCTTATAACAAAAGTAATTTATATATAGATAGAAAGCAATGATTAAAAAGTAATTCATTTAGACAGAAGCCCCCCCCCCCCGCCACCAATTAAAAGGTAATTTATAAATAGATAGAAACACAAAACACAGATTAAAAAGTAATTTACATAAAAATCATATTTTATGGCACTAGTAGTCCAAATAATCAGTGGAACGATACAATGCTAATAAGCTGGCATAATAAAATTTGTAGTCGAAATGGGGTGCAGTCGAAATGAGAGTGAACACTTTATTCGGCACACATGTTATTTCATTATTTCAGCTAATTTTTTTCCTTTAACATACATATATATAAGGTTTTATATTTCTTATATATATATATTTTAAAATTGTTTTGGTTTCTAACCATAACCATCAACTTATTTGAATTTTACCAGTTCATGCAAAAAAAAAAAAAAAAAAAAAAAATATTTCATTTTATTACTTTCTATTTAGGATCATGTTTAGACTTAAAAAAATAAGCAAAGTTGAATCCTCTATAGAGGTACATGTCCTCAAAGATAAGTGCTAATTAGCATTCAGTTATTTAATCAGTCAGTTGGATGAAAAGACAATTAGATAGTCCTACAGGTTAATCTGAGGGTGACAAGTAGGAAACCATACAAATGCATCCTACTATCTCATCATTTTATGGTTTCAGTTTAACAGTCATGTGGAATAATTTCCCATGTATATAGACAAATAAATTGGATTGCTTGTGAATTTTATCTAGTGAACTATATTTTCAATCTATTTTTCAAAGTTTTGAAGTTACAACAATAGTTTTTGTTATGCACTACCCCTCGTTTAAAAATTTATTTTTGCCTTGATGTGATATTTCATAGAAATAACAATTCATACAAAAAATATATTATGTAATGAAATTTCATTTCTTTATGGCAGAAAAATAAGTTATTTTTAATGTTTATAAAAAGTTTTTTGTTTATATAGTCATAAAGTCAATGGACAATGAACGGTAAGTAATTACTGCAATGTAATGGGTAATGGTAATTAATTACATTGCTAAACATGAGAATGTAATTATAATGAATGCAAATAAGTTGTTTTTCTAATAGATAAAAATATATATGAAATAATATAAGAATTTCATGACTTGTTAAATAATGATAAATAATCAACATGGTTTGCTTTATTTATTGGAATCAAAAACTCTGAATTCAGTTCTGGTTTTCTGTCCTACTAATCACAGGGTGGGGGGATGGCCAAATGGTTAGCACGTGCGCGTTGTATAATATGTCATTGAGTCAACTGGCGCGGTTTCTATTCCCCAGTTGTACGTGACAAGGAGTGGGTCGTCTATCCAACCTCGTGGATTTTCTCCGGGTCCTCCGATTCCCCCCCCCCCCACTGTTGAAGACCCTACGCACAAGCGAATTATTGAAATAAAATTGAACAATATATAAGTTCCGAAATGACCTAGTTTGTGTTAAGTGGGAGTTAAACCGCATTTTTCTTTCCCCCTATAACTAATCACCGACAAGAACCGACAATGGCGGACACAGCATTGTAAAACACGTATGACAAAGAATATTAGATAATATACATATTCTACAATTCATATCCAAAGAGTAAATGATTTCATAAGAAAATGAAAAAAAATATGGATAATTGAAATTTTAACAAAAAAGGTTCTACTAACCACCGGCATGAGCGTTTTTTTTTTATTTAAAGGCGACGAAAATATTGCAAAAAATGACCGTTTTGAGAGATATAAAATATACTTAAACATACATTATGCAAGAGCTAACTATTTTGCAGGTCTTTCTTTTGGACTGAAATTCTTTCTAAATTATTAATGAGACATTAATTAACTTATCCAGGCCAAAATCAACTCTCAATATTAAATAGATTAGAACAGTTCAGCCATATTTTGATTTAAGCTAAAAAATGGTGGGGCGAGACTTAGCTTCGAACAACCAGTACGCTGGTTGAAATTATTGCACACGTCTTGTCAAACCTTCAAAGACTAATATCTTCGCTCATAATAGAGTAATTTGAATTAAATTTTCAAATTATTCATTTTACATTATCTATTTTCGAACTATTATAGCAAGACTGGGTAGCTCTATATCTAAATCTTACATAATGTATCTTTAAATATTTGATTTAATTAAAAAAAAAACTAAACAAGTACTAAAGAGCACTAAAGTATTGAATATCAAAACAATTGAAATGGGTTTGGTTATCTGAAGAGATGATCTTCCAGGTCGAGTTCACGGGATGGTTATCTAACTGACATCTTTGCTTAACTATTCATGAACAGAGACAGAAAAGAAGAAATTAATGAACCAGAAAGTCACCATGTTGATATCGAGTTTCAAATGATACATACTGAAGCGCAGTTATTAAACATCAATTTTCTTGTCAATCCTTCAAATGTTTCCTCTCGAATTGCGTAGAACTAGATTTATTGTCAGTTAATATCATAATCTAGATTATCATAATTTATCTTCAGTCTTATATCACTTTCTTGATTATTCGTTTACATTATGTTCACGTTTGTTCATATTTTCTTTAAATGTGTTTAAAAGATATCGTTTTTAGGAATATATTATTTTGACATCAATTAAACACTGAATAAAAAAAATTAAAAAAATGAAAGTAAGTAAAATTGTCCATGCGTACAGTAATTAAATCCTATTCCGTTATATTTTACAAAATCACCCAATCATAAAGAGTTTATTCATTCTCCCGAAGACAATTTAATAATCAATGAAGAATATCAGATTTGTCTAAATTAAGAATTAATAAAAGTGCTGACATGTTTCTTAAAACAAGGCGTGGGTCTATTGATATAATACTCTTTATCTATCTTGATATACCATGATAATACAAATATCATATAAAGGGATATCCATGACGATTAGAAGAGTCATTGCTAGAAAACAATGTCATCACGGAAACACTAACTTCTAGAACTATACATAGCTGGTACAAAACAAATGTTTCCTATATAAACAGACTACATTGATATCAGTATCAGAATTAACTTTAATACGGATCAAGAAAGACACAGATTGAAACTTGTAGGTAATTATCTTTTGATTAATACGTGGATTTATATTATAAATCATATATTAACTTTGATAGATATTTCGCCCCTATTACCATTGTGTTTATTCTATTTACCGTAAATGGATATTAGATTAAGACATTAAGCCTATTTCTGACTAACTATATAGCCCACGTGACAAATACTCTGCATAATAAAGCAACATCTCTTTGGTAGAAGCGGCCGTTTAATAAAGCTATTTCACAAGATATCGACACCTGGTTGATCAATATATCTTTATAACAATCTGATGAAAATACAGATCTATATTTCGTTTCATTTTTTATACTTTCGATGACCTCCACTACATGAAGATCTGATCTGTTCTAGTGGGAGGTCATGTCAAGTGTCAGTGTAATGAAGGCAAGTAAACGAAATTTTGAACTATAAAAAAACGAAACAAAATTGAATCTGTGTTTTGTCTACGATATCATTCTTGGTGAAAGTGGACGTTAAACTTCAGGAACGAACGAACGAAAGGATCTGTGTTTTAATCAGATTGCACTTTATAAATAAATAGAAAGGTATGTTTATTATATTATTCAGTTATCATTAACGCGTATTCACTTCATGGTAGCAGACTCTGAATTAAACAATTATTTGATACGATTCTAGTTACGAATGTCTCTATTATATGTTTTAGTATCTTACCAGGACGCGAACAGTATAATTTACAAGGGAAAAATCATGTTGCATATCGTATTGGTTGTTCTAGTATTATTACATCAAACAAATGGACATGCCCGTTTGATCGATCCACCGTCCAGAGCGTCCATGTTTAGATTTGGATATAATACTCCTCCGGATTATAATGATAACCAAGGATTTTGCGGTGGAAAAGAAGTAAGTCTAAATTCATATTTTATTCATTGATTTAAAAAAACTGTCGTATCATTTTTTAAAATACTGTTTTCGTAAGAACATAATTGATTCAGTAAACATCCGTTAGTGTCTTAGCCAACGTATATTCCCTGTTCTTGTATGCCATGATGGTCGGCATCAAAATGTTTACCTGCAATGTCTTTTGTCAAAGTACCGACAAGGTTCGAATGTTGGGCACTGTAGGCCTACGGGCACCAATATTTTTTCCAGAATTAACGGCACATTTATATACAGATGGTCATTACAGGTATCCTCTTGCCAGACACCCTGCTTCTTGATATTGTGTTGGTTACCCGTTGTATCGGGTGGCCTAGAAAAAAACCAAGTACACTATTTAAAATGAATAACAAAAAGAGAATTGTATCATTAGAATTATACAATATGAATGTTCGATAACTTAACTCCAAATTGCAGATCGACCGCCCAAAGCTTTGCTAATGGAGCAGTCACATCACACTCACCTGAATTCACATGAACAAATGACCAATATGTCCCCCGTCATGCTCGTAAGCTCATTTTCCACTGGGAAATCAAATTTATTATTTCTTCTAATTTAGCCCATTTTACATGAGTATATTTTTTATGTAAATAATTTCCTGCGTATTTTATCAACACTTTCTGAGAGACCCTTGAAGATGACGTAATCCACCGGATTCAGGTCCTGGGACAGCGGTCTGGGTTTTGGGAGCTCGAATACCTAACCCCAACTTCTTGCTACGCCACTGCAACACGAAATACGACTATTTTACCATCCCCTGTCCTACAGCGTGAAATACAAGCATTGTCGTCGAAGAGAATTTCAAAGCATTGTAATGTTCTTTTTTCCACAGAGACAGCAAAAGAATAATGGACAATGTGGGGTCTGTGGTGATCCCTGGGATGCAGCAGTAAAGCCTCATGAAGCAGGGGGTATTTACGCAACGGGACAAATTGTTCGAACCTACAAGACTGGAGCCCTTATAACAGCCACTGTCCAGGTCACAGCAAATCATATAGGATATTTTGAATTCAGAATATGTGTTAATAATGACGTTACTAAACCAGCAACACATGAGTGTTTTAATAAGCATTTGCTTGAACTTGGAGATAGACCTGGGAGCAAGTTTTACATTGATAAAAATAATGGCGATAAAAAGGTTTCTCTTAAGCTCCCTGAAGGTGTCGTCTGCTCACAGTGTGTATTTCAATGGAGATACCGTGCCGGTAAGTCTGCTAATACATGTTAATTAAATTGCTTAAAGTACAGACCAGAGACATAAGCCCAGAGACTTATAGACAGGGGCGGGTCCAGGACGTTTATCAGGAGGGGGTTTGTCAGATTTCTATTAATATATGATGCCATCATCGTCTCCAATTTACATAGGCATGCATACACACTGAGCTTTTTAAAGAGAAAAATCCAACACCCTTGGGAAGTCAATTTTTATTATGAATTAATAAGATCACATTGTGATTCAATTTCGCTGATGCAAAGCATTAATTGTGATATCACATATGTCTATAACATGATCTCGCGCTTTGAATGCCCATCTCATTCCACCATCTGATGATAACGGACAAAGCACACGACCGTGACACTTTTCCCATAAAAAAGATGATGTTTTACATTTGTTTAATAGCAGGAGTGGCGGGTGATCGATCCCCCTCCCCTTTGGATCCGCCCCCTGATATATAGAGGCTGGCCAGCTGGGACCGCAGGCGCCATTTTGTTACCCACTATGTAAGTTTAATACATCAACATTAGAACAAAACAAAACGAGCGGAATGATAGTTCAATAGAATATGTAGTGGGTAAATTCGATACCTTGTAGATAATTCGCAGAACGGAGGGCCTGACAAGGACAGTTGTCTAGTCGTTCGGATGGGACGAAAAACTGAGGTCCCGTGTACACATTGGCGTGCACGTAAAAGATCCCTTGGCAGTTGGAATTCGATATAAGAGTAGGCCGTAGCGCCGCTGCCCGGGAAAAATGTCCCTCATAGCACACTGTATGGCGTATGCCCGGGTTAGGTGCAGAACAGTAGGACGTTAAACCCCATTTCATTTCATTTGTAGACATTGGTCGGAAAATGGCCAATATATCGAAAAACATCGAGATTGTTTGAGCACCTAACGACACGAAAACGAAAGTAAAGGTTTCGTTTTTAATGATCAGTTACCGGTTAGCCTACATAGAGCCATCGATAACCGAGTGCTCGCCTTCATTGGACCGTTCTACAGGCCCGGACTAGGCCCAAATTACCTGTCGGGGTCGGATGCGGAAAGAGGACAGGCAGTTGGCTTATAGTTTTTAATTCACAAATTTCGAAAGTTACGTTATGTTTTCTATCCAAACCAAATAGATGTTCCAATTGCATTGTATTTTATGTTTCAGGTAACAGCTGGGGAACTGATCCTAACGGTAAATCTTGTGTAGGATGTGGAGCACAAGAAGAATACTATGCCTGTGCGGACATTTCTATTGTGTCGGGCGGTTTGGTGACAGGGTCTCCTGTAGCAGGCGTTACAATACCAACAAAGTACCCCGCAACCAGTGTTACGGTACCTACCAAATCCTCAGTAGTCAGTGCTACGGTACGGACAGAAATACCGATTACCAGACAATCTCAACCCCACAAAACCTCCTCATTCGCACCAGTACAATCATCGCAAAAGCCTTCCACCAATAAAAATTGTCACGCAATTGGACAGTTCAAAAACGACCAAACTTATCACAATTGGTGCTCAGCGAGTTGTGCTCAAGATATATGTCCGGATACCATATGCAGATGCGATGATGTTAGCGACGAAGATGGCGCCCCTAATGTCCCTGAATGTATGTCCCATGGCGTGTTTAAATCTAACAGTATGGACCAGTGGTGTAAAACAAATTGTCAACTGAAAAACTGTCCAGCTTCTCATTGTACATGCGCATAAATGACAAGACGTTGGACTGTTTCTTTATACCATTTATATATTAGACATTTTTCTTTTTTCCATGACATACTATCCAACATGTCTAAATCGCCGTCTTTTCTCTTTTATTTATACTTTATTTTTTATTTCTTTATGTATATTTTATTTTTTTTATTTATATTTTTCGCTTAATAAAAAATCCCCAAATTATTTACTTTGTTTTGGAGATGAATACATACCAAAAGTAAAGTAAAATATGTTACCATAGAAATCCATTCAGTATTATGAATAATTTGTAAATAACATCTTGTGTGTCATATTATATCAATTTATAGACCCCAATCAACTTTGCTGACGTTGATACCCATGGAGTACGCCCTCGATTAGATCTTGCTATCCAATTTAGATCACAAATGATATTGTATTACATGTGTTTAACATTTTTTTTATCATGAAAAATTGTCACGTAAGTGAAAACGATTACAATATTTCTAAAAGCATACATCATAATTTAGCCACTAATTAATCTATAGCCCTGCACATGTTTGACCCTGATAGATCTATTTAATACAACCCCAAATTCGACATGCGATTATACATTAAATAACATAGTGGCAAGCCGTTTCACACAAATATAATTGTATAGCAAAGTAAAATAACAATCGCCGTTTTATAATATAAACTAAAGCCAATAAATATAAAATTGATTTTCATATTATTTTGACTTATGGTCAATGGAATGAGGCAAAGACAACACAACATAATAATTTATTTTACTCAGTCAAGAACACCGGGGACGCAGACTCGAGCAAGCGGGAAATGTCATTTCCATCTTCATATAATATTTTTGATATATCTATAGATGCATCGTTACCTCAGTGTCAGATTTAGATGAAGAGAGGTTATTTCACTTGTGGGACACCTCCCAATCCCCGACCCTCACGACTAGAGGAAGATGAATGGGTTTACAACCCGTTCCGACGCTTATTTTTAAACCAGTTCATAATCGCTGGGGTTTTTAAGACAGCATCGTGTTGCGTTCATGAGGTTAGAGGTTAGAGTTAACTACGCATGGGTAGCTTCATATTCTTTTATTCGGTTCTCGCACGCTTCCGATAACATTGGCACTGTCTGACCTCGATATTTTCACAGGAATGTAACTAATTGCGTACTGCGCATGCTCGAAGCAAGTTGGAGCCGGGGTTTTAAAGCCAACCCGTTCAGACGGTTAAGATGAACCAGTATAAAATAAAAAGCCTTCTCGAAGACAGGTCGCGAGCAGGGGTTTTTAAACTGGTTTATATGCCCCACATTTGCGTTCAGATGCTTAAGTTAAACTGGTTTAACGATCCCCGGGGTTTTATAACCAGTTCAACTTAAGCGTCTGAACGGGCTATACAAAACATACGCCCACAGCAGCTAAATCGTCCGAGCGGTCGTCAAGGGTTGTCGCATATTTATTTCTTTGTAGGTAATTGGGGGCCTTTACAAGACAGTTCCATACAGATCAGATTATAAATTTTGTCGTTTGAGGGTTTACAAGGTTCTACAAACTGAAACAAGGGTCTCAACTCTGGAAGTAATCTACAGCAAATTTTGAAATTTGACAGGCTTTTTCATTTTACTAATTTAAATAATGCATATAAATTTCATACAGATCACATGATCACTTTTGTCATTCAAACGTTCACAATCGCGATAACTCTAGAAATTATTGACTGAAATTCAATAGACCTGTTTCACAAATTTAAATGATGCATATAAATTTCATACATATCGGATGATAATATCATCAATCGAGCATTAACAATGTTTAACAAAGTGAAACAAGGGCAATAACTCTAGAAGTAATTATTGTAAATTGCTGAAATTCAATAGGCTTTTTCGTTTCACTAATTTAAATCATGCATATAAATTTCACAAAGATCGGGTGATAACTTTTTGCGTTAGAGCGTTCACAAGGATCAATAAAGTGAAACAAGGGCCATGACTCTAGACGTAATAAAAGGAAATTGTTGAAATTCAATAGGCTTCTTCGTTTCAGTAACCTAAATAATACATATAAATTGCAGAAAGATCAGATGATAACTTTTGACGTTAGAGCGTTCACAAGGATCAATAAAGAGTAACAAGGGCCATAACTCTAGACGTAATAAACGGGAATTGCTGAAATTCAATAGGCTTCTTCGTTTCAGCAATCTAAATAATGCATATAAATTTCAGAAAGATCGGATGATAACTTTTGACGTGAGAGCGTTCACAAGGATTAATGAAGAGAAACAAGGGCCATAACTCTAGACGTAATAAACGGAAATTGCCGAAATTCAATAGGCTTCTTCGTTTCAGTAATCTAAATAATTCATATAAATTTCAGAAAGATCGGATGATAACTTTTGGCGTTAGAGCGTTCACAAGGTTCAATAAAGTAAACAAGGGCCATAACTCTAGAGGTAATAAACGGAAATTCAACAGGCATTTAAATAATGCATGTAAATTTCAGAAAGATCGGATGATAACTTTTGGAGTTAGAGCGTTCACAAGAAATTGTGGACGATGAACGGACGGACGGACCGACAGACGGACGGACGGGGGCGACGGCAATATACGTCCACATAAATATGTGTGTAAGAAAAGCGCATGACAGTGTCAAATATATTGGTTGGTTGAAAGCCCCCTACCGAGGTCCCGTGTACACATTAGAATGCACGTAAAAGATCCCTTGGCAGTTGGAATTCCATATAAGAGTAGGCCGTACCGCCGCTGTCCGGGCAACATTTCCTTCATAGCACACTGTATGGCGTATGCCCGTCTTCATTAGCCAAGTCGGGGCAGAGCAGTAGAACGTTAAACCCCATTTCATTTTATTTTATGGGCCCTAGAATTCAGTCTGCAAAACCTATATGTAAATCCGGCACTGCCTCACATGTTACAGTTACCCCGATGTCAGTCCAATCCGGCTGTGATTTTTAATGGTATCTAAGGATGATATTAATTTTTGTGACTCGGGCATATAGGTTGTAGGTCGTGTCTAACAGTCAATAAAAGATACATGTCGTGTCTTACCTGTCGTGTCTTGCAAGATCAAAAGAAACGCATGGTCAAATTATCAATGCTACAGTTTCACCTGTGAATTTCAGCGCTATTTCCGCTTTCAGTACGAACGATGTTTCACAAGGAAAGTAGCAGTTGTCATTGATCACATTCTGAGTCTTACAGTAAGTAACATATATATGGCGTGGTCCACATGTTCGCCTTGTGTCCTGCATTTAATATATACCGTGTCTTACTGTCAGTAAGATATACATGCAGTATCTTACGTACGTAAACCTGCCGCTCAAGAAAATAACAGTAATTTAATAAAATTTTAGTAAAAGATACAGTTAGTATTTCTTAAGGTTAGAACGAGATACATGTCGCGTCTTACCTTCTAGGTGGGTAGATATAACAATATGATAGGGGGGAGTAGAACAAACTGCAACAGAAACCATTTCTTTGGGAACTGTTCAGATATGGTATCTAGTACTCCCATAAGAAAAGCGGCCATTATCGGTCTTGGAGAAATTTGCATAAATAGCTTAATTCCAAGATGGCCGCCAGTGGACTAGAAAATCGACGAAATCTCCGAAACGGTTGGCTTTAGTGCAACTAAATGTATTACCGACCTATAGGAAATCGATACTCCCGAGTTCAAAATTGCAAAGCCCTATATAAGGAAAGTTACGACAACTCATTTCCAGGCGCCATTTTGGGTCCCAACTATGACGCCACAAAAACCATGGCGTCATACAGCTTTACTTATCATTACAAAACGTTTTATTTACTTCATGCAGCATTATATAGGTGGGGAAAGATATAACGTTTTACCTTAAACAAATTGCACCAATGCAGTTTGGTTCAATGATAAATATGTCAGACAAAATTATACTCAAAATCGGTCGAATTTGGCCAAGGTAAAATGACGTAATCAACATAATTCAATATGGCGGTCTTCGGGAATTTTCGGAGAGCGACATCTCGTAATCAATGTGTTTCAGTGGTGGAAGAATAAATAATTTTTTAAATTCCTCAAACACAGAACGATTATGCAAGCCAAATGTGCCGAAAAGTCGAATTTGACAAATATCAATTAAAAAAATGTATTTTTCATATGGTGCCGAGCAGTTCTTTCAAAGTGGCTGCCAAATTTGGTAATATAATGCAATTTAAAAAACCCAACATAAATATGGTAATAAAAGGGCAGCCATAATTTCGTAAGATATGACTTTTGCTATGACTTGTATATGGTTTTCGATGTCCGAATTAAAAGATAAATTTCTAAAATCCAAAATGGCAGCAACACAAATCGGCCGATGTTAATTTAATCGTCATTTTTCCTTGTTGGATATTACTTGTAACATGTCATTTACACGGTTCTCGATGTCGCCGGGTTCAGAAATGAAATGAAATGAAATCGAGTTTAACGTCCTACTGATCTGCTCCTAACCTGGGCTAATGAAGGCGGGCATACGCCATACAGTGTGCTATGAGGGAAATTTTGCCCGGACAGCGGCACTACGGCCTACTCTTATATCGAATTCCAACTGCCAAGGGATCTTTTACGTGCACGGCTATGTGTACACGGGACCTCGGTTTTTCGTCCCATCCGAACGACTAGACAGCTTTACTTGTCAGCCCCTCCATCCTGCATCACTGACAAGGAAGAACCACGCCGGAAAATCTGGATGAACTTTCTCGGCCAATGCAGGGATCGAACACCCCGACCTCCAGGCTAGCGAGCTAGCGTCTTACCCACTTAGCCACGTGATCCCCTCGCCGGGTTCAATACTGATCTCAAAAATGACTCCATGATGGCAGAAATTCAAAATGGTCAGCGAAGTGTTTTCCAAATTTGCGGAATTTGGTTATATATCTTATATATGTGTTTTGGAGTTGTTGGTACAACTCTGATTTCAAAAAGAAATTTCGAGAATTCTTGATGGTAGAAATTCAAAATGGCCGGCATAATGAAATCTAAATTGGGGCTATTTTAATTAACCGTCATTGTTTTCCGTTGGATATGTCTTATATGTGGATTTGGTGGTTTTTAGGGTTACTGAATTCAATGTTGGGTTCAAAACTTATTTTCAAATAGGATTGTCACCCACCAAATTTGTGCGTAAGCTAGAAACATCAGGACAAATTACAGAAATCATTTTTTACGGTCAGTTTTG